TTTGGCTTCCCCAAAGGCTCCATGTACCCAAATAGGAGATACTTTGGCCTTAAAGTAGTCCCTATTTGGGTGCTTTGGGGCCAAAGTATCTACTATTTGGGCACATGGAGCCCTAGGGTTCAGGTTTGCAGGATTTACCCATAAGCCCTAAAGTAGTTCCTTTTTGGGGTTCATATATAGAATCCTATAAGGTAGCCCCAAAAAAGGAGCTACTATGGGGCCTATGGGTAAGGTGTAGGGTTTTTGCTTCGCGTGTTGTGGGCCGGGCTTCCGGGATGTGGAGTGGGTTGCTGAGTTTGGGATGTGTAGGGCTCGCGAGATTTGGGATTGGCAACAGTAGCTTGGATCAGGGCTTTGGGTATTTTGGGGCTCCGGCTTTTCTAGGATTTGGGGCAAGTTGGGGTTTTGGGGCTTCACCGCCCGCCTCGGTCATGGAACTAAGACTTCACCGCGGGTTCTGAAACCCGAAACTCTTTGGGCAGGACTCGGCTTCAGGTGCAAGAGATTTGGGGCTCATGCAAGATCTAAGGTTCAGGGTTCGTGATTCAAGGTTTAGTTTAAGGCTTGTTCGGGTTTGGTGGGAGTTCGGGTTTCAGGTTAGGAGGTAGCGGGTACCTAGCCTTGAGCGTCTCGATGTGCTGCGGGACATCTGGACTGATCAATGTTATAAAATCCCTAAACCCTAAACCCTAAACCCTAAATTAAGGTTAGGAGGTAGGGGTTTGGATCGCGGATCCCCACGGTCCTCACGATGCCCTTGTCATAAGCCTGCAGCCTATAAGCAGCAAGATTCCTTGATTGACACTTCGCGTGGAAGATCTTCCCCCGCCAAAGACGGCGTCACATTCAAAGAACATTCCTTTACACCTACAACGGAAAGTAGGGGATCCTGTATTGCTGGATATTTGGGAAGGTGTCATCGACGCTATGGCAGCCTTGCTGGATGAGCAACAGGGCTTGACTAGCTGCTTCAAGTGCCGAAAATGCCGGGTTCAAGTATAAAGGTTTTGCAAGCTTTTCTAGGATCTACTTTAGCATTGTATCGGGTGCACGTACCTACACAACGTGCTTTGGCCTTCAGGTGCTTTTATAGGGACTTCTTTGCGGTTTGTGGTTGCATAAAGCACTGTGGACCCTAACATTAGCCTTTCATGGCGATTGGGGAGTGTGTGTGTGTGTGTGTGTGTGTGTGTCGCAGGTAGTAGAGACTGGCTGCGCACTGCGTGAGAGTCTATCTCCGATGCACGCCCCTCAAGCCATGCTGTGATCGAGCAGTATCAGTTTCTGGAAGTCGCAGACGAACTGCAAGGTTTCCCGCGGAGAGGGTCCCGGATGAGATAGACAGATATTGCAGCTTGGCACGAAATGTCTCATTTCGAAGAGTTGGTTGTTTGGAGATGACTTAGGGGCAGATGATGTGTCACAATGAAAGCGAAGGCAACGTAACCGGGGATCCCTCACCTGACGCTTGAGCCGGCTTCGTTCGGACGTGTGCTCTAAAACCCGGCAAAAATAGGCCCCATAGTAGTTCCTTTTTGGTGTTACCTTACAGGATTCTATATATGAACCCCAAAAAGTAACTACTTTAGGGCCTATGGGTAAAGTAAGGAGCAGTGCCCCTAAACTTGCCCAGCGGCTCGTCAGTTCGGACAAATTTCCCTGCGGTGCGACTTCCTCAGCTGGCGGCTGGAAAAAACCCTGAACCCTAAACCCTAAACCGTTTTAGGGTTTAGGGTTTAGGGTTGCATAGAGCTCCCAAACCCAATCCTAAGCTAGAGGTACGGTTTTGTGTTAAAGTCATACTACCCTTCCTGTCTTGGCTGGGGAAAGTCGGGGGGAGTCTGAACTTGCTCTTGAAGGAATCCTTCACAAAGACTTTAAAATAGAGCAATGATTGCCCTCCACCAGCACGGGCTGACACAATAGACGGTGGGCTTATAGAATCCATGATCGGGTTAGTTTACACTAGGGCATTTCTGGATTTATGATAGGAACCATGCTCGAAAGTACAGGCTTTACACTACCTCTGACAGGGTTACTGTTGATGGACAAAATCCTGCATGACCCAACTATAGTATAGTACCATAAATCCCATAGTTTTAGGTATAGAAGGTCATGCAGGATTTTGTCCATCAACAGTATTACGAGGGGCATAGAATGGTACAGACCTTTGGAGGCTTCCCCGGCTTCGTGTGTCAAGCAAGCCCTCTTCCGAAGCACCGAAAATCCTGAAGTCAACCCTGGCCGAGTGGCCCTTCAAGAAGCATCATAACAGTTGAGGCGAAGAGCTAGCACAATCTTCAACGCTAAATGGTGGCCGCGGAAACTCAAAACTTGTCAGAATTTGAGGGCTTATAAGGTTCTTGGTGTATATTATGCTAGAAGTACAATAAGGAACCCCAGAATAGTATCGGTAATTATCTTGTCTCCATAGGCTCAAAGCGAGCTTTAGCCAAGGAGTCCGCCAGGGCATCAGGAAAATCACGCTGAAGCCCGAAGCATCGGGTCATACATATAGGGTCCTTAGTTGTTAGAATAGGGTTCCTTTAAAGGGTTACGAAAAGGGTTGTTATAAGGATCCTATAAGGGTTTAGTATAGGAGCCCTAAATGATTTAGAATAGGGCCTATTCTAATTTTTCAAGCCCCTACATTCGTCATCGTGTTTGGGGCAGACGGCCCAGAGTTTGACATTTCCCGCCGGGAGCATGTCGATTACCGTGGAAGTTTCACTGCTCAGTGGCAAGACCGCTACTGTGGAAGCCAGCCTGGACGAACCTGTGAAGACACTGACTCAGCGGGCACAGACCGCACTGGGAGTCGGGCAAGGGCGACTGCTGGACTCCTTGGGAGTTGTTTTGGACGGATACGTGTCCAACATTCAGAGCGGTGATTCTCTGACCCTGCATGTAAACGGAGTGCAAGTTCAGTCTGCTGGCTGTTCATTTGCTGCCATTCTTGGGGATGGATCCGTAGTGACCTGGGGTCTTGCTGACTCTGCTGGCGACAGTCGTGCTGTTCAGGATCAGTTGAAGAATGTGCAGCAGATCCAAGGCTCTGGATACGCTTTTGCTGCCATTCTTGGCAATGGATCCGTGGTGACGTGGGGTCGTGCTGACTGTGGTGGCGACAGTAGTGCTGTACAGGGTCAGTTGCAAAACGTGCAGCAGATCCAAGCCAATAAATACGCTTTTGCTGCCATTCTGGGCAATGGATCCGTTGTGACCTGGGGTGAAGCAGGCTGTGGTGGCGACAGCAGTGCTGTGCAGGGTCAATTGAAGAATGTGTGGCAGATCCAAGCCTCTGGGCATTCTTTTGCCGCAATTCTTGACGACGGATCCGTCGTGACCTGGGGTGATGCTAAATTTGGCGCCGACAGCAGTGCCGTGCAGGATCAGCTGAAGCATGTGACGAAGATCCAAGCCTCAAACAGCGCTTTTGCTGCCATTCTTGGGGATGGATCGGTTGTGACCTGGGGTCATGCTGCCACTGGTGGTGACAGCAGTGCTGTGCAGGGTCAGCTGAAGAATGTGCAGCAGATCCAAGCCTCAAACAGCGCTTTTGCTGCCATTCTTGGGGATGGATCGGTTGTGACATGGGGTTTTGCAGCCGATGGTGGTGACAGTCGTGCTGTGCAGGGTCAGCTGAAGAATGTGCAGCAGATCCAAGCCTCTGGAAAGGCTTTTGCCGCAATTCTTGACGGATCCGTCGTGACGTGGGGAAATGCTGATGGCGGCGGCGACAGTAGTGCTGTACAGGGTCAGTTGCAAAACGTGCAGCAGATCCAAGCATGCCACTCTGCTTTTGCTGCCATTCTGGGCGATGGATCCGTTGTGACCTGGGGTGAGGCCCAGTCGGGTGGCGACAGTAGTGCTGTACAGAGTCAGTTGAAGAATGTGCAGCACATCCAAGCCGCGAGCAGCAATTTTGCTGCCATTCTTGGCGACGGTTCGGTTGTGACCTGGGGCTTTGCTGGCTGGGGTTCGAAGGTTGAGCCACCGACTGCACAAGGTCTGGTTGTACGTCGCTGAGGCTGAGCACCTGCCAAGATGCGGCATCAAAGTGCTGAAGACCGGCTGGCAGCACGTGCAGAGCCCTAATGCCTATATACAGACCCTATACATACACCCTACAAACCCACCCCAAACCCTACAACCTTCCCTAAAACCGTAAGTTCTGAGCCCTGCAACCTTACACCATCAAACTCTCGCTCCAGCCAGGGCGTCTTTACTCTGGCTCGATTGCGTCGAGTTACTGGCTTAGGGCTTAGGATCTTTATAGGGCTCAGGTTTATAGTTTGCACTGCCTAGGGTTTAGTTTTTAAAGTCTAGAGTTTGGAGTTTATGTTGCATTCAGGGTTTAGGCTTCAGGGAACATATCGTTCGAGGTGTTCCACAGAAAAGCCTTCGGGAAATCCACCCACCGGGCTTTGGAAGAGAGAGAGAGAGAGCGATATCACAGTCCCTTCAAAGCCCCATAACACATTGGGGGGCCCATGTGGCCGAGGGGCCTGACCCGTCCCTTATGCCCAGTGGAAGAAACGATATGCTGTCAAGTTCTGCCTCTTCGCCTCCTTCGTATTCTCATTGTATTGATTGTGCTTGTGTCTTGCTATTTCGTCTAGGTATTTTCACTACCTCAGAATCTCTGTTATGATTTATAGTCTACTTCTTATGTGTAAGACCATTCAGAAGTAGAGGTTGTCGTCTTCGTACTGGCATCTTCCTTAGTGGCAGCACCTGCACGTAGTCATGATTCATGAGAATGACCAGCAGTATTCGAGAGTCGCATGTAGGTAGTGACAGAGTGGTGTTTCCCGTGATGTTAGGCATAGCACATACCAAGTCCGGTGCAAATGGTAATTGTAAGTGCCTTTGGCAGATTGTGCTTTTAGAACCTATTCCGCCAAATCAGGTTGAAATTGATGTATGGGACCCTCAAAGGGGGTTTTGGCTTCCCCAGTCCCTCTTCCGAGCTGGGTATAGTTTCGAAGCACCGAGGCATGTGTGGCGACAGACCCTTCTACTGTGCACTGCACGATGCCGTCTTCAACGGCAAAGCACAGGTCGAGAAGATAGGGCCTAGGGCTTAGCATGTAGGGTGTAGGGTTGTAGAACCTAAAGGTTGTTTATGCAAAACAAAATTTGCTTTCGTAATTAGTTGGACTGGTGTTTCGGGACTCTCTTACAACGGTTCGTTCAGTGTTTTATGCGCCTCTATAGACTTTCATATAGGGGGGCTTAGTGCGCGCAACAAAGTTTTAATGTTTTGCTATAGTACAAGTACACTGCCGGGAACTTAGAATTAAATATATGAGCCGCAAATCCTGGTAAACTTGCAATCTTGTCAGCTTGGTCATCTTGCTCGGCAACTGGTCATCTTGGTCATCATGGGGGGAGGGGGCAGGATGACCATGTCATCTTGCAATCTTGGTCATCTCGCCTCACTTGCCCGACTAGTTTACCATTTAGACCAAGATGACAAAGATGACCCCTTGAAGTGGGGCAAGTGGGGCAATAGAAAGTGGGAAAAAGATGACCAAGATTGCAGGCAATCTTGCTCAAACAATTGTTCTAAATCCCCGGCACACCGTACAAGTATGTAGCGCACAAACAACAATATTAACACTATTTCTTTAGACCCCTTAGTAGCCTCAAACTGAAGAAGGGTTGCTTCAATCTTTATCTGCCGTAGTTCATGAAATCTGTGATCTTCACAAAGAAACCTGGATATTAATGTCCTCACTAGGCAGGCCCCCCGTAAACAGAAACTCCTAATGCTAAGAACTGTAGGAATTCCACCACGCCACAAACCCTACAGAACCGAACCCGCAAATCCCTAGAGAGCCTGAGCCCCTAAACCTTGAAGCCTGCTCCGCTGATCTGAACCTCCACACTTCTTGTAAAGCATCCCAAGCCCCCAAACTTTATTGAGATGTACACCAAACCAGCCTTGAACCCTAAACCCTAACCCTAAACCCTAAACCCTAAATCCCAACGTGACTGGCTTGTCCGAGTTGTGAGAGTGTAAACCCTAACGTGAACCCTGATCCCCAAAGCTTATAAACCCAGAGACTCCAAAACCCCTCAATTAAGGAATAGACCTTAAATCATATTAGGGATCCTATTATAATTTCAGGTATATTCCTTAATGAAGGGGTTTTGGAGTCTCTGGGAACCCCATAAGTCCGAAAGCCAGTTCGGCAGGCAGCCGTGTGGCTTCTCGAGCAGAATGCGGACCCTTCCGCCGCCTGCTATCTTCCTTCCTTACCTGTAGTCTCCATTGTAGTTCCTTTTTGGGGGATACCTTATAAAATCCTTAATTTATAATTGGTTAAACCAAAAAAAGGAACTACAGTGGAGATTATAGGTAATGGGGCCAGAGTATCAACATGTCTGGGAGCCTTCACCCGTAATTCGGGCTGGATGACAAGAGTCTTGAGCATCTTGAGACAATCCTAAACCCTAAACCCTAAACCCTAAACCTCCTACCTTACACACTGGTTACGTGGGTTCCTTCTAAGCGGAGACAAGACACCCCTGCTGCGAGGTGTTGGGGATTCGGGGTGTGGGTTTTTGTGAGTTTTAAAGCTTAAAGGTTTGGGGAAAAGTCGTTTAGGGTCTGGGTTTTGTGCGTTTCAGGGTTGGGGGTTTTAGGTTCGGGCCGGATGTCGGAAATCCAGGATTTAGATTTTAAGATTTTGAGTGTGAGGCTTAATTCGGGGTAAACTAGAGGAGTGTTCGCAACTGCGCCTGCGCGGCTAAGTTTCCCGATTTCAGTGGTCAATGTTTAGATCGTAGAGCAACAACAGACTCTCCCTTCCTTGACTCATTGACCACAACCGATGCTTGTACAAGGCCAACACCAGAGATACCGAAACCATTGGTATCGCTTCCAGGTCAAGAATATGGAAGGTTTTACGGCCCTGCACTGGCTGGCCTTGCGTGGCATGGATGAAGATGACGATGTGGAGGTGCGACTGGAATGTCACTATCCCAGCTTTCGTTCAGGCCGCTTGGTGTTGCCGATGCTGCAAACGGCGTTGGCGAACAGATCCCATCGGACAGCCTGACGACTTTTCCGTTGCAGTAGGATCTACAGAGGAAACCGACCCTCAAGAGGGCAAGAGCACCAGCTGAAACTGCCATGTGGGTAGTTTTCTAAATTAGGGTCCCTTTTCAGGTCCCCAAAATAGTACGGCACCCTTATAAACAGCAGCCCAAAAGGGACCCTAATTTAGAGAACTGCCCATGTGCAGGTCGTCGTTCGTTCTTTGGTCCGCGCTCGCGCCGCTGTCGACGAGGGCACAGAGGACGGTAGCGGCCGCCTGTTGCAGGGAGGTTCTGATCTTCATCTTGAGGTTTAGGGTTTAGGGTTTGGGGGTTTAGGGGTTGTAGGGTTTAGGGAGGGAGGTTCTGATCTTCATCTTGGGGTTTATAGGGGGGTTTAGGGTTTAGGGGTTTAGGGGTTTAGGGTTTAGGGGGGCTTAGGGGGAGTTTTGTTGCAAGGATTTGAGGCTTGTGCTCTTGACTTGAGTAGTCTGTCAGTGTCTACAATTTGAGCGGTTCTCGCGCTTCAAAACCGAAGTGCTCTTTGCAGCGAAGGGCTTTTGAAGACTGCTGACCAACTAGACCCTATTGGGAGCCTTGATAGTAAATGGACACACTGTTGCTGGACAAGATTTAGTTTGGTGTTTTTGCAGGACCCTGCTTGAACCCAGACTGCTAGCTAAATTCTAAACCCAAACCTTAAACACTAGACCCTAAACAGAACTATGCGGAGCCTTGCCAGCCTTGTGCGAGTGTGAGACCCTAAAGACAGACTTAACTCCGATAACTCCTAAAGCCAGCTCTCCATTTATTCCTTCATGCTAGTCTTGGTTTAATGTGGGAGTTTCCGAAAATTAGGGACACCTTGTTTTGGGGTCCTTATAACAAGGATCCTATTATTTAGGGTACTATTTTAGGATCCCCTATTTTTGGAAGCCCCCATATTGGTTTGATTTGTCCTAAAGGCCGCACAGCCTGATGCCATCCGTTTTGCATACAGCTTGACTTACGGCGGCTCAGGGCGCAAGAATGCATCGCACATCGACGGGCTAAGCAGCCACAGTGAACATCTTCTGTGCGTTTGCCCTGAAGCCCTTATAAACCGTGAGCACTAGCACGAAACGGAAGCCAAGAGGAAGCTGTGGTTGACAGCTTTTGTTTCAGCCCAGGGTTTTTGCAAGCTTCTCAGCACGACTCTCTCACGTAGCCCATTCCAGACTTGGCATTTGCAGTGAACAAGGGTAACGTGCAATGAAGAGCTTCGACCATCAGTATTACATCCAACAACGTACGAGCGGTGCTTAACTTGGGAACCCTAATTCAATCTAGTCTGAAAACCTCGAACTTTGCCATAGGTTCGATTATAACTGTAGTAAACCTGACGAGAAGCCCTGAGATTTTTTCAGCCCTGCAGACCCTAAACCCGAATCTCAACCCTACAGCCGAACCCTCAAACCTTGCACCCTCAATTCCAATATGCTGCAGATACAACCCTAAAGACCCTGAGCCCACGTCTGGCTGAGTCCGGGCTGCGAGAGCGTAAAAACCCAAAGCCTTAAATCACAAAGACTGTGGCTACAAGTTCTCCGCTCAGTTCTGGGCCGAATACCACTGGAGCTGGCGGTGAAGCCAGGGAGCTTATTTCCTAAGCACCTGTCTCTTGGACCAGGTTTATGATGGAGGGTGTTTTACGGTTGAGGGGCTTAGGGCTTAGGGTGTAGGCACGTGGCACCAACAGCGACCTGAACCGTAGGCCACACGTGAAGGCCCTAAAGTAAAGCTCGCGATGTGAGAGCCTCGCGGCGGAAAGTACGCCGCAGAAGTAATAAACGAGTGCAGCTAGAGGCCAGCTCATCATGTTGCACACCTACGTCCGAAGAATGCAAGAGCTTCAGAGTCTTTAGCCTCCGCCACAAACAGCCCGTACACATTTCTGAAATTGCGGAGGTCGAGACCATCTCAAGGGCATGATGTGGTGTGTGGGCTAGGTATTGCTTCTCAAGACTGCTTGGCTAGCCTGACAACGCTCGGTATCATGCCCTGTTTGGAGCACGTGCATGCACATGATGCAGCCGCCAGCCTGCCCTGCCCAACTTCCCGGATTCCAATGCCCCGAGGCTTTGGCTCTTGACCAGTTTAGGGTTTAGGGTTTAGGGTTTATCCTTGAGCACCCCCAAGCTGCATGCGGATTTGTTTGCCAATCTTGACGATCGAAACCAGAACCCCCGAAGCCCGAGCTCTACCTGTAGTCTCCATTGTAGTTCCTTTTTGGGAATACCTTATAAAATCAAATTAATATATAATTGGTTAAACCAAACAAAGGAACTACAATGGAGACTATAGGTAAGCCGACCCTAAGCCCCTAAAACCCTAAAGCCCTAAACCCTTAAACCCTAAGCCCCTAAACCCTAAAACCCTAAACCCTATACCCTAAGCCCCTAAACCCTATATGTAGGCCCTCGAGCCCAGTTCTTCAGAGCCGTTCGCAGGCTCTATCTTCTTGCGCCTTCCTACCAGGCACCCCTGGGGAGCTGGGAGTTTAGGGTTTAGGGTTTAGGGTTTAGGGTTTAGGGCGGGGTGGAGCCCTGAAACTTTCGGAGCCCGTTCTTGAGAGTTCGCAGAAGTTAGTTCGACCCCCTGCCGTTCTCTCCAGGGTTTTTGTAGGAAGTTCTGTTTTCAGTTCAATATTGTAGTTGTGTGTCAAGACCACACTTAGTTCGACATGACGGCCCAGCTCAGTAAACTACAAAGTAGTGTCTCTGAGCCCGAAAACACAAAAGCCAAGCAGCCATGCGGTGCACAGCTGAAAGCCCCCAATGGCCGAATGTCAACTCATCACCGCGAGCTTTAGGTGTAAAGAGGGAAGTTAGGATGCCACCCTCCTTCCCCCAACGATGAATTGCAGTTCTGTAGCCCAGCCGTGTAGGACACTATGCAGGGCATACAGCAGCGCCATGCCTGTGACAAAAGACCAGGTTGTATCTTGTTCCTTGTTTCGTTAGCAGGGCTCTAACACACTACAGGAATCATTCGCAAAAAGTTTACTCGAGTTACGTAATGGCACAGCAAACTCGTACCCAAGCCATTTCGAGACTCGTGTGTTGTTTTTCTGCTGATGGCCTCAGCTCCTTTTGACCCACCTTGCTTTGTGGACAATGGTTCTCTCTCGGTTGCAGCTTTGACACATATTGGGATAGTAAACCCCAGACCTAGAATGCACATCCTGGGTTTGCAGATTCGGGTTCAAGCCTCCAGTTCCCAATCTCCTGGAGCTTACGTGGGTCTGCTATCTTGGAGGTTTGATGTGACTATATTCACCAAAAAAGCCCCAACAAATGGACCTTATAGTTGCAATCCCCCAAACGGCTGGCCTGCCGCCTCACGGCTTTGTCCAAGAGGTACTTGACCAGAGGCTGCAAACGACCCACATGCCGCGCTGCTCCTTCTTCGAGGTGGCGATGCATCCGACAGTAACCTCTGCTTGGGCTTGCGAGGAGTGTATTCCCTAATTTAGAGCCATACTTATGGACCCCATTACAACTTAGGCAAGTATACCTGGGGGCGAAGTGGGCGGGCGTCTTTTAGGTTCAAAGACGCCCTNNCCCCCCCCCCCCCACCACCACCCCCACCTCAGGGTACGCTGAACAGGTAATTTGGATGGTCAAACTCCAGACCTGTTCATGAATCCCTGCCTGGTGTTGCCGAGCTTAAAATCGCAGCCCATACCGGCACAGCCTTCAAACTTCAACGAAGTCAACCATTTAGGGTTTCCGAAAATAATTCGGGGATCCCAATGTAGTACCCTAAATTATAGGATCNNTATTATAAGGACCCCAAAATAATAAGGTTCCCCTTATTTTCGGAAGCTCACATTTTGTACGGAGCCTACTTGGCCTCAACTTCTTGAGGATCCACGAGGCTTTAGCTTTAAGTTCTGGGGCTCACGCATGGAGACTCTACCTGTAGTCTCCATTGTCCTTCCTTTTTGGGGATACCTTATAAAATCCTTAGTATATAAATGGTTAAACCAAAAAAAGGAACTACAATGGAGACTATATATATAGGTAGGGAACTAACTCTGCAAACGTGCGATTAGTCTGGCCAATATCGTACGGTGCAGAATTTCTCGTTTGTCAGCAGCTTAAGGCCCAGGTCACAGTGAAGGTCCATATGCCACGGCACGAGCCAACCGGAGAAAATCACCTCTTACTGTATATACAACCCACAAGGAAATCCCAACCCACTCAGTTTAGTTTGTCGCACGCCTTGAGGATCTTGCCCTCATGTCGGGTCACAGTGGCAAGGCAGCGCAGGCCTGCGCTCAGAGTCCAGTGGCCTATTCAGGGGTTAGAGCTTGGTTCACTGTTTTTCAGTGTGAGGTTTCCGAAGGGCCTTGGCCCGCAGGACAGTGCGAAGTATTCTTGCAACGAGTGTACACGGTGCTTCCTTGCGGAGTATGCGTCAACGAAACACCCACTTCTACAATCATGAGTTCGCCCAGAAGGCTATTGGCACCTGCGGTTTCACCCTAAACCCTAAATCCTAAACCCTTGAAACCCCCGAAGTAAGTCTGACCCTCGGTAGTTAGAGGCCCGTTGGGCCCTGGCTGCAGGACTTCGCAGACCGTGTTGCCAGAATGCCGGGCCCCACTGCGAAGCAGAAGGCCGGGAGCCGGGGGTGCGACATGGACTGGGGTGACAGTGAGGGGCCTCGCAAGTCGGGCTAGGGTTTAGGGTGGGCTAGGGTTTAGGGTTGAGGGTTTAGGGTACAGGGCTTTAGGGTTTATAGGGATTTGAGTCTCTAAGACTCAAGTCCGCTAAAGGAGACAGGATTCAACGGCTCGGGTCTGAAGGTTCGCAGTGGTATGTCCTGGGTAGGGCTTCCCACCTCCGGTTCGAGGGTGTCCGATACGAGTTTATTGACAATTCTATGTTGGTATTCGGTCTGCAGTGCAATTCACTATTGTAAGGCTTATCGAATTATGATACACAGCACACCCGAAGCGCCCGTCTGAATATCCAGACCCCTGGACTCGGAATCCCAGTTCCTGGCTCCTCTGTCGGGAGCGAGAGTAGCAGCCGCGTAAACCTCGAAGCCCGTGAGGCCATCGTCGATGCGCAAGATGAGAATGCAGCCGACTGTAATTTGGCTTCGAAACGATCCTACTTTATGTAGTGGCTTATGTAAATAGTTGCCAATACTGTTGCGGGGATCCTTTGTTAAAGATGTAGCAGAACATACCCCAAAACCCTATTCTGAGTATTAAGGCCCCTAAATATACCCCAAACCCTATTCTGAGTATTAAGGCCCCTAAATATACCCCAAACCCTATTCTGAGTATTAAGGCCCCTATGTTGCCATGTGTTGCTTAGTTTTCTTTTTCAGGGTCTGCGAGGCTCAGGATTCCGGGGCTTTCCGGCACTTGGCTTCAGTCGTCGCTTTGGGGTTTAGGGTTTAGGGTTTAGGGTTCACGGTTTAGGGTTTAGGGTTTAGGGTTTAGGGTTTAGGGGTTTAGGGTTTAATGGTCGACACCAGCTGCAAAGGTTTGGATGCTCTTGGGGAGCACCGGTGTCCAAATGCTCTACCCCCGCCAAGGCTGGCCCAAAAGCCCCAATCTGTGAGCCCCCACACCCGGCAGTGCAACATGACTTTAGGCGCAGACGAGCTCTCTCAGATCGAAATCCCCAAATCCGGGGCCTGTAAACCTCCGACTGGTCTGAGGTATGGCCAGCTTGCTTCAGACGCACTGCTGCACGTAGGAGTTCGAGGTGAAGCTCTAAACCCTAAACCCTAAACCCTAAACCCTAAACCCTAAACCCTAAACCCTAACCCTCTTAAGTTTGCCAGTCTTGAGGGCTTTGGCAACGCGGGGTTTCTGACAATCAAAGGCGTGTGTTCTTTTTTTGAAGGGGGTGGTTGGGGGGTCCTGGGATTCTGTGTTCAGGCCCGTACGTATGTATCTCTACGTATATGTTTATATGTACGTAGCGGCAACGGCAGTAACAAGCATGGCTCCGCCCAAAGGGCAGGAGGTGCTTAACAACGCCACAGACGCGTGTCGTACTACGATGGTATCAGCCAAGTCCGTCTCCTCAACAGACAGAGCTGGACCAGAAGCCCTCGAATACTTCGATCAGCCGACCCAAGGTTGAAAGAGGGAGCCCAATGCCCCTTATTGAGCCACATGCCTTAGATCCATTAGAGCCCTTCTATACTATAATATGCCGAAGCCAACTAGAAGGCAGGAAGCCCAAGGTTGCTATCAACTATAAGGGCCACAATAATTCCCAATATACTTCAACGGATCTTGCACTAGCACGTTGAGGGGTATCGCTATAGCTAGGTGAGGGCTTGTCGGGAGACGAAGCCACCCCAGCCGGGAGGCTAGAAGGAACGATGGAGGTCCCCCCATCAGCCCGAAGAAGTTTCGCTTGAAGATACTTCTTGCATAGTGGGTCAAGGAGTCTGGCAGGAGTTTAGGATCCACGCTGGCAGGTTGCATATTGTGTCAAGTTGATGGCTTCCTCTTTCTACGGGCTTGATGTTGTTTTAATCTTCCTTGCTTGCACGTCCTCTTGCGACCGTTATCTCCGGCTCCATTCTTTGAACTATACTCACGAAGGCCTGCTTGGTAGCATTAGCGATTATGCCGCTACTTCTATGTCAGCTCGAATATCGCCTTCCGTGGTGCCTTCCGAGTGTGGGATTGCTCGGGATTCTGTAGGGGCCGACTTGATCGGAGCTTCCGTGCCCAAAGATGGCAGCAGTTGGAGTGCTGGGTGTCGCGCCCCGGGCATGAAAGAGCTTTTGACTTATTTTTTGGGGGGGTTCTGGGCTTACCTGTAGTCTCCATTGTAGTTCCTTTTTGGGGATACCTTATAAAATCCTTTATATATAATTGGTTAAACCAAAAAAAGGAACTACAATGGAGACTATAGGAATAGGGTGATGATTATGACTGTGCTCATAGATATGGTTTGCACTCACTGACATCTGCACCTGTAGGCCAGGCGTGCAGCGTTTTGCTCTCTAGCGCCAGTGTTTCTGACTGGGGTCGTTTTGATGCCCGAACTCGTGAGAACCTTGAGAAGCTGATTGTGTGTTTAGGGTTAAAGGTTAGGGGTTTTGGGGTTTAGGGTTTAGGGTTTGGGGCGAATCTGACTACACCTTCGGTGGACATCGCTAAACCTGACCAGGGTTTAGGTTCAGGTTTCCGGCTTTGAGATTGTTTGGGGTATCATCTGGTGTGAGCAGTCAGAAGCTTATTTTTCCGAGTGCGGAGACTCTACAACAAACCAAACTTGAACCTCCAAAACTCTGCAAACCCCAGAGAATCCCGGAGAATCCCAAGCCCGAAAACCCTAAACCCTGAGGTGAGGGTTGTATGTTTGCTCCATATCCTTTGTGGTGTAGCAGTGATCGTGCGCTAGAGTTTGTAGCAGCATGTACGAGTTGGACACATGAGACCTCGTCTGGCGGAGTCCGAGTTGCGAGAGCGTAAACCCTAAACCCTCAACCCTAAGCCCGACAACCAGATAATCCCAAGCCCGAAAACCCTAAACCCTAAACCCTGAACCCAGAGAAATTCGGAGAATCCCAAGCCCGAAAACCAGGTGCTCGCAGCCGTGCTTCTTTGCTTCAGCTGCCCTCCGGCCGCTTTCAGCCCGTCGCCCCGCGGCGCCTTGAGAAGTTCCGGTGGCCAACTGCACACGAAGGCTGCTCATGCACACGGGGTAGGGTTTAGGGGTTTAGGGTTTAGGGTGCTTTTGGGGGTTATAACACACACGGGCTTGGGAGCCAGCGCACGGCAAAGCAGTGCGGCCAGCAAGCGTCCAGGTTCGTCCAAAACAAACGAATTCAAATGGGTCGAGCGAGCGCCGCGCGCGTGTGCACACGGCGCCCCTGTGCAAATCGACCAAGTGCAGCTCTCGCCCGGAGTAGAAGTGAGTCTTCAGCCCCGAAAACGATGCCATCCAAAGGGAACCCGACCCCCAAATCAGACCTGTCAATGCCCGAAACGAAAAGACCCTGGAGCCGAAGACACTTCAAGGCCCGCCTGAGAGCACGCCGTACCAGCGTCAACCTCCCTGCCACCGTTGGTGGCGGAGGTAAAAAAGCTACCGTGGCCGAAGACACCCAACCGCCCTTATCACCCACCACCGGATAAACAAAGTCACCAGTAGCCTCCAACATAAAGACTAACTCTAGCCACGTCACCTGAAAAGCCTGCGCAGCCGCAGCGTCCTGTTCGAAGACAAAGCGGCACAGGCGCAAAACAAATTCACCTGGCAAGTCTGCTGTACAAGTGAGCACCTGCTGAGCCCAACCGACCGGAACTATAGCTTCAATCTCACATCTTCGAGGCACGGCCATCGGCCGGCATTCGGGTTCATCTGGGACGACGCCTGATTGTTGACCCTTATTCCGACACGAGGTCGCTTCCGCAATGCCACAGTAGATGCTGCGCAGCGCCCGAAGCACCTGAAGATTGTTCTCATGATACTGAAGCGCTGCCTGGTATGTATCCACCAAAACCTGTGGCCGGTTTGCGTTCGCCGCCGCCGCCAGTGTGTCAGCATGTCCGTTGTATCGAGCCAGCCAATCTTCCCACGGAGACTCCGTCAAGCTTGAATCCAAGTGAGAAGGAGTGTGGCATACCCGAAAGGAACCAGAATCAAGCTGATCCAGCAGCCCTTTCAAGATGTCCCACAAATCTTTATCGGCAGCCTGTTCAAGATCCGAACCAGCCTGGATAATACTGATGCCCTCAACAACATTCAAGCAGTCAGACCAGACAAAGCACGGCAAAGCATGAAACACTGCCCACTTGGCGGCCGCGATGACTGCCCACAATTCAGCCCGAGGTGCTGTTTGCCAAATGCCCGGAACTGGCCCACAAGCGAGAGCCGCGCCATGCTGGGAATGGACCACACCCCAGGCCGCCAACGAGAAATCAGGACTCCACGAAGCATTGCAGGAACCATCCGTGAACAGATGTTGCCATCCCGTGCCAAACCCTGAACAAGCGAAACTCCCCGAGAAATCGCCCAACCCTTGAAGCAACTTGCGGAAGCCAGGCAAATGCGGATTGTCTGGAGGTAGCAGATGATGTGTCATGCAGGTAGGTAGGGAATGCCAGCGAGAACATACCCAAGCATGTGGTGCCCGCACAACCTGAAACTTAGGACATTGGCACACCCGGTGCTCGGCATCATCCTCAACGCCACAAAGCTCGCAAAGCCCAGATTTTGTCACATCGAAGCGGGCCTGCACATTATCGAAAATGAAAGCCCCAGACCTAAGAGCAGCTTGACGAGCAGTGTCCAATGCCGAAAGGCCCTTCGCATCAGCGTGCAACAGACTGGGATCAAGACCGTCCAAGTCACCCATCGTAGCCCGGTGCCGATGGGAAAAGGCCACAAAGCGTAGCCATGCATGCTCGAGTCGCCGACGTAACATGGCTGCCGGTGCACATACCAAATCATGCTGAAGACCCTCGTGGTCCCATGCCACCGGAGGAGACCCAATCGACCATCCAACTTGGGAGAGCACCTGCACCAGCTTTGTGAAGGGCCCCGGCAAAGCCCGACCATCGTAGGATGCCATGAACTCACGCCACATACGCAGGAAGCCTTCCAGCTTACACGCCATGCGACGCATGTCACAAACACATCGCCAGAGTTGATAGAAACCGGGATCCGCGCACATATCAGGGGCGATGGAAAGGCGCAAGAGGGAACTCGCTCCACCCGGTCGGATCTTAAGTGCCGCAGTTGCCTGAGCACGCAAAGCACTTAAGTGGGAAACGCCCAACGGGCAGCCGGCAATTCCATGGAGAGCCCGAGCCCAGCACTTTTTTGGTAAAACCGACAACTTCAACCCCGTCGGTGCCCTGGAGCGTCGAAGGGCATCCCAAAGTGGCGAAAGCGCGGCACAGCGACCCTGTAGTGTGGCATTGCGAACCCGTGACCCAAAAGTCAGGAAACCACCTAACTCCCGTTGACTTTCCACAACCGCCGGTCCTAAGACTTGCAGCACTTTGCGATCCTGAGGCTGTGTGGCCCAAGTGTACGTCTTGGCCGCATCGATACTTAGATCCAGCATGTCCATGAAACATTGGGTGGCATGGAGTCCACGAGCAATCTGCGCCGGCGTGGATGCAATGTTGGCCAAGTTATCCACAAAGCTCAACGTCCGGATCTCCGGCACAAAAACTGCCATGTACATATGGTATGCTACATCTGCTAAGACCATGGCCACAGGGCTAAGGGGGCAACCCTCAGGGAAGCCCGAAGTGGATGCCACCGGCTCGCTAACTTGTCCGCGAATAAGAAAGCGACGCTGGGTTTGCTTCAAGAACGCTGTCCACGGATTTAGCACCTGCCAAGGAACCCCCAACCGAGCCGCCGTCGCTAACAAGGGCAGTCGCGGGAGATTGTTATAGCACTTCACGATGTCTGTGCACATTCCCAGGAGGGGCGTGTCCCCCTGAGCACAAAGCTCGATTTGTGCTTGGATGCAGTACCATAGCGTGGTTGCTTCCTTCCCAGGTATGAATCCATGAAGATCAGCAGGCACACTGCCTTTCAAAGCCACAAGCAACTGCCTAGCTCGAATGCCGGACCATGTGCGGTACACAATGGAATACAAACAGATGGGACGAAATCCATGTGCATCTGTATGGCCATTCCTTTTAGACAGCAAGCAGATGAAGCCAGTCACAAGTTGTTGAGGCCACTCGCGCTCCCCGGCTTCAACTTCAGCTAGAAACGCCAACAACTGCTGGATTCTGTCATGGGGCATATGAAGAAGGTCCGCCTTCGCCCATCCATCCGGTCCACGAGCAGCACGTGGGCGAAAGCGGCGCACCGCACGCAACCAATCTGCAGCCTCGATACGGGGTAGGCTAAAAGCCTGGCACGGCAGGTAGGCACTTGCAAATGCCAAGAATCTTTGCCAATGTGTGGCCGTAAAAGTGGCATGCTTTTGCCACCGGCCAGCCCATAATGAAACGAATTCAGACTGAACATCCGATACTGAGGAGAGCGTTTGACATTGCTCAAGCTCTTGACCGGGACTTGCAGCAGCAGACAAGGTGCACACGACATCATCAACTTCAGTAACCGCCACCGGTTGACCATCAACGGCCCATGTAGAGGAGCCGCGAAGGTCAGGCACGGCATCCAAGTGCACCTGATTGCCTGCAGAGGAAACAGCCAAAATGGCATACTCACGGGACACAATAAGAGTGTCCACTTGCTCTGGGACGGGATCCTTGAGCTCACGATAGAGCTGGGCCAAAGACTTCTCATATTTGCAATCAAGGATTTGACCACGACGCTGCATGTGCCATGCCTCGAACCGGCGGAAGTTGCAACGAAAATCCTCAAAGATACTAGTAGCCGAAGCCACATCAGGCACAGTGTGCGGCAGCTCAGGTGGACTTCCGACCAGTCGGGCCGGCCGAATCTGCCACCAACCTCGAAACCCCCCGGCAAATCCCTTGGCCCCACAGATGGACCTCCAAAGTGCCAGGCGGTAATCCACCGCCGCAGGCGCCGGGCTAGCTGCAGCCACCGCATGTTTCAACGACTGCAACCGACGAAGTTGCTGAAACCATCGTTTGACCTCAGTGCACAGACCATCGTGGCGGAGGGATACCTCGCCACATCGACTCGGCCGTGGCACAGCCACCGTACTGCACTGCACCTGCGGGGCAAGTCTCTTGCCACGTCCAAAACAAGCCGACGGGAGCTGATTGTTCTGAAGGGCTGGCACAAATCCCCGCAAGCTGCGCTCGAACTCTTGGGAAAACTCCGAGTACCATCGTGATGAATCCTTTGCCACAACTGGCGCATGAGAGCCCAGCTCGTGCCAGGAATCAATGTTCACACTAGCCCAGGGAATCTCCGAGGGCAAAGGCCAGGTAATCTCAGAAACGGAATGACCCGGTAGAGAGAACCCAGCAATTAACGTTGAATGCTCCTGAAACACATCAAGGACCTGGGCCTTGATACAGCATGCTGCAGCCTCTGGCGACAACCAAATGAAATCACGACGGGTGGCATGCTTGCACGTGGGCTGTGGTGCAACACCCCAAAGGCGCTCTGCCAAGCACTGCAACTCAACCCAACCATGGCTTCTCCACACGGCACACTGATCCAGGCGGTCAATGTCATGATTGAAATCCCCGGTAATAACTCGAAATCCCCTGGCCCCCAAGACTAGTTCCTGGGTAAGGCACCGCAACATATTGTCGGTGCGGGTCAAGGCGTCAGGCCACGTGGGGCCAGTTGGATAACCATACACTGTTGCGACCTGCACGGGGGTCGATTCCAGATAATGCTGGGCCACGACAACGCGCCCTGACTCATAAAGTCCAGAAGGCCAAGGAAGCCTGAACGGGCGGCACGGATAGTCACTGACCTGAAGCACACCGGTCCAAGACCCGGCCCAAAGACTGTTCACCCGAAGAGGTGCGGGAGCACCTGCCACGGAGCGTGCTTGCCTGCCCATGTCGGTTGCATGGCGCCGAAAAAGAGCCTGGGAAACAGGCAAGGTATTGGCTGACAACTGAGTTTCAGCAAAACAATGTATCCCAACACCCCAGTTGGCATAGAGGGACTCTTTCTGGCGGAGTCCAGAAGGGTTGCTCGTACTGAGACTGAAAGACAAGGAAGGGCCCGGATGTTCGGCCTCCCCATAGCGAAACACAGCTGGAACAGCACCAAGATCAGAAAATGAAGCCCGGCTACCCGATCCAAAGGCATCATCTCTACAGGAGGGCTGTCCCGCCCCAAAAGCACAGGAGAGTTGACCAAACATCAGCACGGCCCAAATCAAACACCGAGGGCGCAACATCCACCCCGGCCCGCACCTACACCCAACGGAACGGCCGGAGGGACCTAGTCAACTAGTGCGATGCTTCTTGTCAGCAAACAACGACTGGATTTGCTCCATCTGTCCTGCCAGCTGCGCCGCCATCTGGGCCGACAGGTCAGTTTGCAAGCCGAGGACAGCCGACTGGACCGTGGCCTGTACATCCGTCCTAACTTTAGCGAGCTCCTGATGTTGCTCCTTTACCGTGCCGGCCAAAGTGTGCAGCTGCTGCGCTTGATCGGCAACCTTGGTGCCGAAACTCTGAAACCAGTTTTCGAACTTAGAGTTCTGCTGACGGACCTCAGTCAGGCCCACTTCCAACTGATGTAACCGGTGGTCCTGCTCACTCAAACCCGGCGGAGGCTCTGAGACCTTCCTGGCATCAAGCTGTTCAGACACAAGGTGTTGCAGATCTTGTTTCAGGTCGGCCTTAATCTGATCCAGCTTTGCTGTAGCTGCTGAGGAGGAAGCTGGCTTGGCGGTCGCTGCAACCTGCTGCGATCTACCGACAGACCAAGGATCCGCTCCCCCCATCCATGGATCCGCACCTGGCTCATCAGGATCATCGTCAAGGAGCAAGGCTTTCTTGGTTCGCACCGAAGCATACACAGGCTGGGGAACGTTTTTCCCGGAAGCACCAATGTCACGAAGTTTTGTGATCAACACATACTCAGCCCCCAGGGGCATCGCTGGGGCCGGCGGGTCACACGCAGCCCCCACCAGCCATGCAGCACCTGCTGAGTCCCCACGATCGGGCTGCAACGGTTTACCTGCCCAACCCCACTGCTTCAAAAGCTGGACCACAGCTGGTCGCTGCAATCCATGAGGCAATGGATGCAGCCTGAAATGAGCCGTCACGCGCAGCTTCAAGAATTGATGCTGAGGCCGATGCGCCTCAAACACCTGTTGTTCATCTGCCTCACGTGTCCTCAAACCGTACTTGTTACCCAACCTCGCCAGTGCCACTGCCTTCTCTGTCGTGCGCAACGCATGTTGTGCTGCTGCCGCCGTGGCTCCCGGTAGCCACACGACAGTCCACGCTGGATGCGGGCCGGAACCATCTGGCGCCCGAGGCTCGAAGTACAGGCCATTGCAACCTATCTTGAAGACATGCGACACCGCCGAGCTGGGCACCCGCAGGTAAGCCTGGAAAACCTCTGCTTCCCCTGCCTTGGTCCTAGTCCCTGACAAACGGCACCACTGGCGAGCCCAGATGTCCAAGAAAAGATGCTCCACCACCTCATCCACAGCAGGGTGGAAGGAACCACACGCCTGATTACAGGCAGGGTCCCGGCAAACCGCAAGGGCAGGGACCTGCTGCAAAATCACCCGAATAGGTGCCTCGCTCACCTTATCCCAAGGCCAGGCACACTCGTCTTTGTAGAGGTTAAGACGGCACACCACCGTGTCAATGCGCTCCAGTTCTGCTATGTCAGCTGAAGCGAGCTGAACATCATCGTCTCCAAGCTGGACCAAAGACCCTGCTACCAAGACTGCCTCATCCGTAGGCGTAAAAACCGCAGGATAGCGAATATTCGTGACTCGAGCCGAGCCAACCTGATCAGACGCAAACTCAGCAGTGGTGATTAGGGCCAGAGGGTCCACACTCAAATTGCGGGCCTGATGCACAAAAGGGGTGGCCTGCCCAACCGTACAAAAGCACACTCCAGTCGCCTGTGCCTGCACCTCCGGAAAAGCCAACTGGCACAGCGGAGCACCCGAAGTCGAAACGAACGTACCCGGGGAAAGGCGCAACTGAGCTGGGTCAATGTGCAGTGGAGCCTGAAGCGGGCGCTTCGCAACCTTTGCCTTCTTGGCCTTAGCACGTGGGACCTCAGTTCCAAACTTCGATTGAGCTTGCTTTTCGATGTGGCTTTGCAGCTCATCGGCCTGAATCCATCGAAACATGTTGGCTGGCTTGGAGGCACAAGCCTTCAGGGCCTGCCACGGGTTGCGTTGCAACAGCGCTGATGCCAGAGGACCGGGCCCAAGTTTGGCAGCCGCAGCCTGAATCCTAGCACCCACCACTTCGGCCGGAACTCCTTTTGACACCAGGATAGCCTGAAGCTCACGATCCTGCTCTGCTGTCAAGCCCCCGAACCCTTGCAACGACGCCAAGTGAGGAGGGAAAGTGCGCAGAAAGTCACAAGCCCAGTCCAACAAAGTAGCCGGCGCATCCCGAAGCCCAAGGGCAGCTGCGTGCGCCAGCACGTAAGCTCCACACGAAGTGGCATCCTGCTGAAGCCAGTGGTGCTTCTCTATCAAGGACAACAGCGCCGTGCCTTCCAATTGGCAAAAAGCCTGAGCCAAAAGCCTAGCCGCCCGAAGATTTCTCCCTGGAATCCCATCCCAAAGCTCAGCCTCTACTCCGACTGGCCCGGCAAACAGGGTAAGCAACGACCAATGCCCCCCCGACACAAAAGGCACCAAGATCACCGCACCCCGTGGCAGCACGAAGTTGCCTACTTCTGCCACAGTCATATCCTCTGCCAGCATTTGCATCAAAGTTTCCGAGGCACACGGTGGAACCAACTTGAAATCAGTCACTACAAAGGGGCTCTGAAGCCAAAGCCCAATGCCGTACCAGATGGTAAAATCCGAAGCGCCTACAGTGTGCAAAGCCTCCTGAGGGCTCTGAAGCGGAGCCTCAGACTCAACTTGAGCAGGCAGATCACTAGCAGCAGGGGGCGGGGCCACCAAAGCAGTCTCGCTTCCACAGGTCGTGGCATTGCATGGGAGGGCGGGCCGAACCTCACAACGTTCCTGTGCAGCCGCCTTGCGCTGCACAATCAAAGTATACTCTGGTCCCTTGGGCAAGAAAGCAAGCCTGGCAGACCTGGGCAAAACCCGACCGTGAACCCAAACCTGAAGCTTAAACCCCGGTGACAAGAAGGCGGCCTCGGCACTTATGAGCTGTCCTGCTGTCACCGGACCTGACACCTTTTCAGTGCGACTGCCCTGGGCATCCTGCAGAGCAATGGTGCCACCTGAGAGCATTGATGGCAACAGCCAGTTGTCCTGCCTTTGCTGCAGCAGAATTTGCTTATACCTACCCAATTCAACCTCGGGAGTCACGGCTGAGAGGCCAAAGCTCGGCAGGGTGTGTGAGAGCACCTGTGCCCAAATCCAAAGTGCCTGCAGCGGTGCTGCCACCTGACCTACCAAGCATAACGCAGAGCGCGGATCCGGATGGTGGCAAAACAAGGGTGACATGGTGTTTAGCAACCCCACTTCCTTCGGATGAAGAAATCTCACCCCTTCAAGAGCCCCGGAAGGAACCCCCTGGCCACGCAACTGCTGCGGCGACAGGCTGGCCAAACTGAGTGCCCGGGGCCTGCAGCCGCAAGGACAAGGCCTTAGTGCACAGCCATTCGTATGCAGAGCCTCAGGGGCTTGTTCCGATGCAACAAGCAGCGCCGTGTCGACACCTAAGCTGTTTTCCGTGAATGTGGCTTGTTCTTGGGCATCCCAGAGCAGAGCAGCTTCCTCGGCTTTGGACCAAACGGGCCATTCAGGGATGATGTCATGCACTTTCAGCTTCGGCTGCATTACTGACCAACCCTGAAGAGTCAAAGGAGGCAACCCCACTGGAAGTAGAACCGCCCACCAACGGCACCGATGCGCAGCCCATTGATCTGCTAACTCCAAGACTTGCTCATGCAAAGTGAACCCTGCCCTGGCCGCAAACTGCTGCAAGCACTGCTTTGCTGGAACACACTGGGCCATATGCGGCCCACCTTCAAGCACAATACAGCTCGTTTGCATATGCCACGCCAGATGAAGCACTTGGCAAAGCGCCTCACACCTAGGATCCCTAAAACCAACCCCAAGCCCCAATCTAGAAGAACCACGGCACGGGAGGCCTGCACAGAGCATGCAACGCACCTCCGGGAACACCCGATGCAGGCGTATGCGATCATTCCGGTCTGTAATGTCGCCTTCTAAAACTGTGGCAAAATTCGTCTTCAAGACCGAGCAAGCTAACTGATTGTTGTCCATCACAGCCAGACATTTGCCTCCTAGTTGCTGAAGACCAATTGAAATGCCCCCAATGCCTGCAAAGACCTCCTTTGTGGTCCGAAAAGATTCCGAAGTCAGCAAGGGCCGCGGCATGATGCTTGTTTGGTCAACGACACGCAGATGATGAAGCGACCCAATCACCCCATTATACTGCACATCGTACAAAGTATACACCCGATCAATCTCGAACGTCCCTTGGCAGCGACACTGCTCTTTGTTCCAGATTGCAAGCATAGTGGCCCCATGAACATCGGCACTCTGTATCTGAACCACCAGATCAATCAAGGTTCCGACCTCACACCCTTGCAGGACAGGATCTCTCACCATTGCAGCAAAGCACCCTCGAGGTTTAGTCGTAATCCGCTCCACTACTGGAAAGCCTCGAGCCCAGAGCTTTAGGGTCCTTATTATAATACGGCACCTATTTTTTAGGGTACCCCAAAAGGGACCA